CATCTTAACATTGAGTCTATGGTGAAAATTCATTGACTTTCATTGAAATTCATTTACTTTCTGAGAAAACTCATATACTTTCTGAGAAAATTCATTGACTTTCTTAGAAAACCATTCTTATTTTCCACTAATTCTTCATAAATCCAAGTAAAAACGTTACATATCTTTCTGATAATGTAGGCATGGTCATCTGTGCTGATCCAGATTCATCACCAGGAAATGTTAATGGTGTAGAAAGACTTATTATTAACGAAAGTAAGTGCACTAAATATTCTTTTATAATTCATATGATAGTTTGTTGATCATGAGGCGACCCTCATATATGCTATTAAATTAATTCGAATTAAATTTCGACGCGCTCATGTTTTGACCTCCGTATTTTTTTAATCGTACGCACCATAAAATTGAAATTTTCACCAACCATAGCCAGAGAGTTGATCTTAATTTCAGCGTTTTAATGGAGCCAATAAGTCTAGCCAGTCAGTCGTCAATCAATTTTAAAAAATTAGTCCAAAACATTACCAGTCATACCTTATGAAAAAACTTGGTCACCTGCATCTCAACACGATGAGGGTGTAACTACGAATAAATTTTCATTCATTAACAAAACTATTCAAAAAGCTCGAGCTGCCCCAAGCCATTGTAAAACAAAAATGTGGACAATGACTCCAAACAATCAAATATTAACATGGCAAACTTATAATGAGATCAGAAAAATTTCGGATTTGATTTACCCAGATGACCTGGACTCTGATAGAAAATTCCATATAAAGAGTTCAAAAAATTTGCTGATAAAAAAGGTGTACCAATGGATTACGATGAAGCGGTTAAACGACAAAACTCGAATTGAAAAGGATGCTTTCAAGTATTCATGTAATTATTGCGATGTCACCATGACAAAATTGAAAGATTTAAAACGTCATCTTTTTGGTAAAAAAGAAATAAACAAAAATCCAAGGTATTGGTACATTTCTTGTCATATAAGACGATCCGAAGAAAACATACCAACCAAGCGTTGTCCAAATAGATCGAAAAACATAACTCCAAACAAATTTTCATGGGCTAGCATATTATGCTATGATGAAGAATATGAACCTAGAATTGATGATTTCACCATTCCTGAAGACAACCAAAAGGAGTTGGGCCTGTAACATTTTGAAGAACGAACGGATGAACAAATAAATAATTCAGAACAATAAATTGTAGCATTTTTTGTAAAATGATATTAAAAATACTTTTTCACTAAAATCATCATTCATGCTTGCTCAAAGTTTAGTCATTGAAATCTTTCACAAAGCTACAAGTTGAGTGCTTTGATAATAGTATAGAAATGATCAATAGAGTCTAGTCAACAATAAATTATCATCTAAAATTTGCACCAGAAAGATTATTATCTTCTCTCTCAAACCAATATTAAGTTAAGTCTCAACTCTTAACTAAAAAGTCTAATTTTTTGCAGAGTGTCCTTTGTTCATAATTTTTTCCCAAAGCTACAAGTTTAGTGATTTGTTAATAGTCTAGAAATGATCAATAGAGTCTTGATAACAATCAATTATCATGAAAAGTCCAACTAGCAAGTTCATTGTCAAATAATTGCTTATTACGATCACAGATTTTGGACTCAAAACTAATGATATTCATCAACTTTGCTTTTACCTTCACTTGAAATTGTTTCAATGTATTTCTTTTTATCAAACTTAAATTTCCCTCGGAACTTAACTTTACTATCATTTACCCTCAAGGTATTAAATTTAATTCAGTTCAAATCTTTTCGGTAGATAATAATCTTAATTCAGATTCGTTAAACTTATTTATCATTATTATCTGTTTAATATCGCCCGCAAATACCATTTTTTCATAGTTTTCATACTACTAATTAATTTAAACCTATCATTTCGCATTATATTAATTTCAATAAATTTGGTATGAAGATGAGACTTAGAACCAGTTTAAACTAGGTATTCTCCTCATCATACAACGTTGCCACCTATCGGTAATTTTGCTATTCCTTCGGCATACCAAGATCTGAGAATCAAAATGAGCGAAGTCTCTGATACTGTCATATCTCTTACCATGTCTCTTCATGTCCAAACAAAGTTCATCCATAGTTATACACTTTAGAAAAGCATTTGGTTGCTTTTATAATGATAAACAACACCAATCTTTGTTTGTTTGCCTGACAAAACATGAGGAATCCACTTATTGTCAATTTTTCATACCAAGCTCATTTTATAATGTTGAAAGTATAACCAACCGATAGTCCAGTAATTGAAGATAGTTTATCAATGGAAATATTTTGTCTTCGACAATATAGCCCAGGTCACTAGCGGCACTTGATGATCAATCACTGGTCGTCCACTTGAGGCCATCATCATCATGTACGTCCATGTTTAAACTGGCGATGCCAATATTTCACATTCTCATATGATGGACTATCGTCGCCATAAACATCTTTGAGATGATTGAAAGTGTCTAGTGAGCAATTTTTGTCCACAAAACTTAATTACACTTGAAACTGAACTGAGGTCATGGTATTTTATTTTGTTGTATCAAACTAGCGAAAAAACTTCAAAATGATGAAATTACAAAAGAGACAAAGAATTGATTGGCATAGTCCCATCTAGATGAAAAATCGCAACTAATATTAAAGACTTATTGAATGATTATAGTACCATTATCACTTGTATTTGACATGTTGGAATCAAAAACCATTGCTGTATTGTAAAACAAAATAAAAAGATTATTAATCACATTCAATAATAAGGAATCATTCTCCTAACTTACCAAATAATAAAAGCAATTGAAGTGGAGGTTTTATTACTGCTCATAATAAAAATCAATAAAAATTTCATGATCTAAAAACTTACCGTTGCTGAGAAAAAGCGACCTTAAGTTTTAACTTCAAACTCGATTTTCTCGAAAACTACTGATCAGATCAGAAAAAATATATTTGGACTTCATATTTTTGCCCCTACAAAGTTCCAACTCTTAACCTTTAACTAAAACTTAGTGTACATTCTCCTTCGCATGTTCGCAAAATTTTCTTATCCATGTTCACTAATAAACTAACTAATCCTTTGAAATTTCATCTAGAAATTGATGGGACTGTTCCTTCCGTAGACAAAAGGCCGTTAAAATTGATCGAGCCGTTTTTGAGATAAATTGAAATTAAATTTCAGTCTAACCTTTTTTTCCGAATAGGTTGAGTTAATTGTTATGATTAATGTTAAACACGATGATCATTTTCTAGGATTTTTTTCTATTTGAAGAAAATTTCTAGAATTTCGAATCTTAGATGGTTCTATATTTTTCGTATTTTAAGTTACTTTGGAAATGAGAATCATTGACATACCTGGCGATGTCTCGTCTCGATCAATTAAAAGCTGAAAGATCTGATTTGCTTACTATTTTCTTAATGTTCTTCTTAAGTCTTTTCAATTATAACTAAATGATTCTACCAGTTGATCATGTATCTTTGAATGCTTAGATTTAGTTCTTCTTCCTCTTTTGATTATTTATCTTTTTTCCTTTTTATATTCTTATTTGTTGTTCTTCAGAATTTTCTTGTTTTGTTAATTTCTGTTTTTCATGTGGAATAGTTTTTTCTTCAAATTCATTTATCCTGAACCCAAACCGATAAACGGGCTACGACTTTAAACATGATGATGGATCTTCAAGTTCACGGTAACTTGACTTTTCTCGCTTTTCATTTATCTTTTTTTTGTGATTCTTCAATAAGGAAACTGGTTCAGGAACCTCCTTGGGTTTTAATCATCATCTTATCTTCATCTTATGTTACCTGTTGATTATAATGATAATGATGAAGAAGAAGAAGAAGAAGATGAGGATGAGGATAAGGAGCCCCATCATCAAGTAGTTAGAGTAACAGTACTTCCTAGTGACCGGATAAATTAACATTCTGACAAATTTCTTGTTTCTTATTTTGTCTCATTCATTGAGATTCAGTTTAATTTAGTGTCTCTTTACAAATACTTGATTTACTTATTTATTTAGTTAGTTAGTTGACAATTTATATTTGAGATTTGATTTGGAATAAAATTCAAGAGAAAATGAAAGTCACCGGTATTGTCTTAATTTGTTCAGTTTTTTTCATTGGTTTTGTAGTTGGTGATAATTCATCATCATCTCCATCATCTTCATCACTTCAATCATCTCAATCTCAATCTCCATCTTCATCTGTTTCACAACCAAACTTGGTCGATTCGAACAAAGTAAAAAAGATATTCAATCGTTCATTTCAACTCGAAATCTATTCAAAACTGTAATTAAATTATTATTCGGATCAAGTGAAGAAAGTGCAGCGACATCAAGACAAGTTCTAAATGTTCTCGTACAAGTAAGTTGATCATTGGTTAATTTCTTTCTTCGTCTTTTCCTTTCTCTTCTTCCTCTTCTTCCTCTTCTTCCTCTTCTAATAATCTTCTTCTTTTCCCAACTACTCCAAAGGCTCTTGATTTGATTCGCAACTCATTCAGTCAAAGATCACGAAGTTCATCCAGAGGATTCAAAGAAGCCGTTGATGATGCGTCGATTGCTGGAGTTACCATGTTACGGGGATACGTCAAGTCGGTTCTTTCGAGTGATGATGATCAATGTGCTCAACGACATTTATGTGAATCGTCAAAAGAAGCGATAAGAGAAGGACGTGAACTCGGTTATATTGTTTCTCAGGTCGGAGGGTAAGGGTCGATTATTACATTTACTTTTCTTTTCTTTTCTTTTACTTTTTGTTTTTATTTTTCTTCTAAATTCTCATGATTATTTATTTTCTCTTCTCTCTTTCAATATTAGTTATGCTTCCAGTTATTTGTTACAACAACAAAAGTCAATTCCATCGACATCAAGTTATGAGGCTGTTCGAAAAGGTCGCAACAATGAAGATTGTGCCAAAGTTTATTCCAATTGTAATGAAGCTGAATGATTATCTTATTAACTTATTAACTTATTAAATATTATTTATTCTGTTGTTACAAAACAAATCCATTTTTTGTTTTCCCTTTTATTATTCATTCATAATTCCAATGAAAACGAATAGTAACATTGATACGTGATTATCGGTAATCAATTGATTCTATTCACAATTTTATGATTAATCAATTCTTTAATTGTTGGTATTCTATCATCTGGATCAACAGAGGCATCGCGAGTATTATTTAAATCAACAAAAATTGCATTCCATCCACAATTTTTAGCACCATGATAATCTTTCATCAGATCATCACCAATATGAAGAGCTTGTGATGGATCAACTTTATCACCTTTTTCTTGAGCTGCTTGGAAGGCCTTAGCATCGGGTTTTTCGATTTTAGTAATTTGCGGTAAAAGAATAAAATCAAAAAAATGTGCTACTCCAAGTTCACCTAAAATCAGGGGTAATCTTTCATCTGAATTAGAGAGAACACCGATTGGACAGTCATCCGATTTTCTTAGGCCTTTAATTGTTCGTAATGTTTGCTCAGCTCCATCAACCAATTGATAAGGTTCACTGGTGGAAAAATATTTATACAAATGAGCGGTGGTTTGTTTAAATTTATTCTCAGTCTCCGAGGAGGAAATATCAACACCACTGGAGATAAAGGTTTGATACATAACTCGATACCACCATTGGTAACAAGTTATTCCTTCAACGGCTCCATAAGCTGGTGACTCTTTTTTAATTTTCTTCAAAGATAATTTGAAGTTGGCATTCATCCGGTTAATCATATCATCAGAAGAACATTTAATTCCGTAAAGCTCTGCAATTTTACAATATTCATAACCAATTGAACATTTCACCTTTACCAGAGTATTTGTAACATCAAAAGTAATTAATCGTAGTGATTGCATTTCTTTTTGTTTCACAAAACCAACCAAAAAGAAATACAAAAGAAATTCAGGTTTTCGTTTGCGAAGAAAAAAAAATTAACGATCACAATAAATAACAAGAGAGAAAACAAGAGAAAATGAAAAATTCTTTTACAATTAACAATTAGACACAATAGACAATAGAAATAATCACGTCAATTAAATTAAATCAACTATTATTTCACATAATTAACGATAGAAAAGACGATGAGAATATTAATTTCAGACAATTAGTTAATTTAATCTCAAGAGAAATCAAAACAAAAAAAGAATAGAAAAAAATTCGGCTGAACAAGTGGTGACATCTATTGGTTGTTTTTTCTTCTTTCGCCATTTGGAATAATTTATTTTCATTTTTCTCTTGCCACCAAAAAGTAAAAATCTAATCAGTTTTTTATTTATTTTCTATTAATCAAATTTTATTCTCTTACTAATTAATTAGTTGTATCTTTAATACGTTCATCAGTAAATGTGTAAATCTTTATGGGTTGATTAGTGTGGTGTTGGTTTTATTATCCATTTTGTTTTCTTCAAACATCTTAGCCTATTGGAGAGAGAAAGGAAAGAAAAATCTTCATCTTCAGCCATTTATAATTTTGTGTTTTCTATTCTAGAATAAGAATTGTCATGAAATTGGTTTGGTGATCAATCTTTCATTTTTCTTCTTTAATTATTTTTATTTGTTCCATTTTTATTTTGACCTTGTCCTGACAAATCCAAAGAATTGATTAAAGTAAAAAGTAATCTCCCGGAAACATCATCACCAGAAGCAATAACATGGCTGCACCAATTACTTTGGACAATTGTTATGTTTCTCTATTGTCCATGGCTGAAGGTTTTAAAGCTTCTAATCCTCCTGATGTCAAGAGAAGTGTCCAATGTCTTCAAGCAATACTTAATCTTCCAGTTGACCATTATACTATGGCAAAAACTCATTTACAAATTGGCTCTTTAATTAGTAAACATACAACTAATATTGACATCGCCTGTAAACATTTTGAAGATGCTGTAAGTATTTTATCAAAAGGATAATTTTGATTAGCTCTTTATGAGAAAGAGATGGAAAATATTTCTATTTTCATTATATTGATCATCAGAGTTAATTTTTGTCCTATTACTTTGTATTGTTTGTATTAATTTTCTTTTCTTCTTTTTTTCTGGTATTTCCATTTAATTATGTTGGACTTCAATTTGGTGACCTTTTCAGTGGCGGTTATCTCATAGTATACCGGGAGCCGAAGATATAATGTTGGAATCTATTGCCATGTTGGTTAATGTTTATGAGAGACAAAACGAGTATCGAACAGCTAAAGATATTCTGTCGAAAGGTTTAGAAGGTTCTTCTAATCATGTTTGGTGGCATTGTAAATTCTTATTCCAATTGGCTCAGATTCATGCCAAGGAACATGATTACATGTCTTCGGCCAATATTCTCAGTGCTGGAGCTGATTATGCTCAAATGTCTGGTGCCTCTTACACGAGAATTTTATTCCTTCTTAGTAAAGGGATGATGCTTTTAATTGGTCGGAGTTATGTTGATGCTCATACGGCTATTAGTTTAGCCCAACAACTTCTCGAATCATGGCAAGGAAATAATCAACAGAAAGAAAGTTTAACCGTTTTCTTCCTGATTCTACAAGTTTGTCATCACTTGAACGCTGGAAAAGTATGTATTACTTTTCCAATACTCACTTGTTATTTGATCTTAATCAAAACCACTAATCTTGCACATTGTTTCTTTTCATTCCTTAGGCTAAAAGTGCCAAATCCCCGTTGAAAATATTGCAACATAGTATTCAAAATCTTTCTACTTTCGATTCAAAATCATTAACATTCTCCATGACCGATGAAAGTGGTTTCCATTGGATGCCAAAGGAATATATGTGTGTCCTTGTTTATTTGGTAATAGAATATTTAAACAATTAATCTATCAAATTAATCTAATTGATTGAATTTCTCATCTATTTACATAGGTCACTGTACTTCATTCTATGCAAGCCGGTTATATGGACAGAGTTCAAAAATATACAGAAAAAGCTTTGATGCAAATTGAGAAGCTCAAAAGTGAGTTTAAACTAAGCCTAATTCAGCGGCAGTGGCATCTGAGCGCGTGTATCTTGTCGAGGTGCGATTTTCAGCAAGAGCAGAATGTATTTAATTCTCTCTCTCTCTCTCTCTCTCTCTCTCTTTCCATTTCTTTTTCACCTCTAATTCAAACTTGTTAGTCTTTTAAATCTAGTTGTCATACTTATTTACTTTATAACATCATCATCATCATCATCATCGTCATCAGCAAAGTAGCAAAAACATCAAAGTCCTTTAATGAGTAGGTTATAATTGGTTACAGGCAAGAGAAAAGTGAAAAAGCGGCAAAATTTACGACTTTTAGTTAGTAAAAAAGTTCAGTCTCATTCTGAGTTTAATATTGCGAAAAATTGATGATAAGAATGATATTGAAAAGATTTTATGTAAATAAGTGTGTTGAAGTTTAACCAGAATGAAACAGTTAAGCTAATCTGTTGTCTACTAATTCAGTTATTTAACGTTAATTTTTTTCCTTCTTGCTTTCTGATTCCATCCATCTAATTACATTAGTGTCTTGTTGTTGTTGATTGTTGATGATGAAGATTTTTGTTCACACACATACACACTTTCCAACACACCTACTCATTTATCATTTAAGATATTATGTATTACAATTAACTAACTATTTTCTCTCTCTTGCAATTTCTTTTTACCTCTAACGATCTAAAATAACGGTAATGTTAGACTCATTAACAAAAATATTCTTTAAATTTTGGGACTAGGCAAATGCGCTCAAGATTTACACTAAACTCAACGCACTTCGTATAAATTTCCCTAAAGAAATGAGAGTGATCATTTTCAAGTTCTCGTCCCTAGAAGATTAGGTTTTGAAAGTAAAGTCTTCACTTCGCTAAGACAATCAACTCGTAGATGATTAATTTTAAATTTTCTTTTCTTAATTACAGTGATTGATAATCATCCATTGTTACATACCTTTCAACTCATTCTTCTCGAGCACATTTCAATGTGTCGACTTGTTATGGGTAATCGTACAATCGCTATAAAAGAAGTAAGTTAAATTATAACAATTCATCTCTTAATTATTACCATAAATTCTAATCAATTAATCCTCTCTTTCTAGACTGTTCAAGCTATTCACATATGTAATCGAGATCATCGATTAAAAGTGAGACATCAACCTGTAATTCATTCACTTCTTGGTCTTTATTCAATGTCAATGAATGTTGGTAACACCGCCGAGTTTCACCTTCGAGCTGTACTCGCCGTAAGTTGATTAACTTGGTTACTTTTTTCTCCCTTAATATCAATTGTTGTGATTAATCAACTATTCTTTTCTCTTTCCCGATTAAATATTATTAATTCTTCATCATTAATATAATAATATTAGTCTCCCGGAGCAACTGCTGAGCTTAAGGTTCTTGCCTCGCTCAATTTATCAATAGTTTACCTACGAATGGCAAGACATTCAGAGTTGAATGAACTATTGGTTAAATTAAATCCAGATACCTTACAATCAGCGTAAGTAACACAATTAAATGTCTTTACAAATTTCCTTCTAATTCTATTAATTATTTTCTCTCATACAGATCACAGAGTGTAAAAGCCGCTTGTTTATATGTATTGGGTTTAAATGCTTTCTTTCAAAATCGTTTCAACGATGCTAAGTGAGTAATAACAATCTTATCTAATTACAATTATAATATCTGTTTACTAATTAGTTTTATTTAATTGTTTCAGACGTTTCCTTCGAGATACCTTACAAATGGCTAATTGTGAGGAATTAAATCGTTTGACATCATGTTCGCTGGTTCTTCTTGGTCATATATTTTTTGCTCTTGGAAATTGTAAGGAAAGTATGAACATGGTAACTCCAGCCATGGAATTAGCAAGTAAAATACCTGATATTCATGTCCAATTATGGGCAACATCACTTTTAAATCGTAAGTTAATTTTGTTATAATTAGATCAAAAGAATAAGAAATTAATTATCTTTCTTCCTCTTCTTTTCCCTCAGATTTATACGGATTCTTTGGTAACAGTCTTCAGGCTCAGAAAGCTGATCAAACGCACAACACTTTCTCCCAACATTATATGAACGATTATTATCAAGCCAGTCAAACACCTGAGCATTCATATATCAATGTAAGTGAATAATTTTTCCCAATCAAGTTAAATTTAAATTCAATATAACTAATTACCTTAATTATTTTTCTTTTTATCTTAAAGTGGACAGGAGATTAATCAATAACTATTGTTAAGCAAAATTTTTACTCAAAAGGCACAATTAACATGACATTTCAACTTATATATGCTCCATTAACACATCTTCCTTTATTGCTAACCATAAGTGATTAAAAATCAATCAATTGCCGCTCAAAAATTGAATTAAAAAAGTCAAAGCAATTAAGAAAATCAATAAAAAATCATCATCATCATCTCTCTGCAATAAGAATAATAATGATAATCTCACTTCCACTTGCACTCCCACAATTTAAACCATTTGACGCTGATTAATCATAAATCCAAATCTCTATTTATTAAATTTATTTAATCAAATGTTACAAATTATCTAATAAATAAAAAATTAATTTTCTTTTCTAAATTGTCACTTTTGAAAAAAACCGCTTTTCTTTTTACTTGTAAGCCGCCGAAAAGAAAAGAAATGGCTCAGGGTTGAGCTCGATTTCTATTCCTTTTAGAATAAGATTTTCTTCGATTAGTCAATGATTCTAATGATGACATTTAATTAAATTATGATAATTGAATTGTACAGTAACTACATTGTGTCATTAAAATGATTAATTGGTGACAAATTGAATTTGGAACAATATTCAACTGAACAATTACAATTAATTCACCTCAGTATTGATTAACCAACAATCAAATCTCATTATCAACATAACTGTTTACACTCATGTACATTTATTGAGTTTCCTTTTTCTCTTATCTTTTTATTGTATTTAATTGTGTTCTTTTTTTGTTATTAGCCCTTGTAAAACAATAGATCTGCTTTTCATCTTCAAGTGAATTAACTTATTCCATTAATCCTGTTGAATGATTAATATATCCACTTAATCATTTCTTCATATTTTCCATCATTTGGTTGGTTGGTTACTTTGATTGGTCTCTTTCTCTTTTGGATTTTTTTTCTTCTCTTCATCTTTATCTCTCTGTCTCTCTGTTTCTATTTTCCTCGACCAAAGAAACTGTACCTAGTCAACTGTGATTCTTGTCTATGTCTTAAATTTTTTTTTTCCTCTTTTAGAATCAATTATTTTCATTTTGGTTTTATTGCTTCGATTCTTCTCCCTCAAAGTGACCCGTTTATCTCTAATTGTGGTTTTGAAACTGAAAATACTTCAAATTGACATGAAAACCTTATGACCCTTACGTTTTTTTCTAAATTCGAATTATATTCTACCACCATACTTTGTTCTGTTAACAGTTTATTCTGCTGCTGCTGGTGAAAAGAAAAAAAGAGAAACAAGTGGAGGTTGTGGAGGAAAAGTAAAAAAATAGGAGAACGTTGATTACAACGAAAACGTCAATTAAACGAATCGTTTTTAAGGAGTAAAAGTGGGGAAAAAAGTATCAACGATTTTATTCTCTTCATTGGTGTTAATTTCTTTTCGATAATTGTTCATCATGTTCAACAGTGCTTTGATTTCCTTTGTGTTATGTGCTCCTTTTGGTCCACAAGTTTGGTCATATGCTCCTGTCGATATTATTCAAGATGACAAAGCTCGTCAAATCCATGAACTTGATTCTATGAATATTCTTGCCTACACTTTACTTCTTATCTTGACAGTTTTGACCATTTGGCTTTTCAAAACTCGGCGAGCTCGATATCTACATGAAACTGGTCTTGCAGTTATTTATGGGTTAATTGTTGGTTGTATCATACGATATGTTGGTGATGCTAAGGCCAATTATTCACATGTTCGAGTTGCTCCTTCTCAACAAGTTACCGGAAATGAAACTGCTCCATGGGATTCAGTTTGGTTACCCTTTACAGTGGCCGAAAAATCTGGACCAAAAAATAAAACATATGTTTACGTTTTTCGAGGTGAACTGGCCAACACGGCTCACGAAATCTCTCAAAAAGCAACATTTGATCCTGAAATTTTCTTCAACATCATTTTACCTCCAATCATATTGAATGCTGGTTATTCATTGAAACGCAGATTCTTTTTCCGTAATCTAGGTAAGTGTGTTGATTAATCCGCCAATTAATCTGTTCCTCTTTTATTTTCTCTCCTTTTCTGCAATTTTCCATCACTTTTTTCACTTCTACTCTCTTCCATTTTTCAAACCTCTTTCCTAATTGTAATTCTATGACCTTTAATTTCAATTTATCGACTTATAATTCAATCATATCTCACTTAATACTAAATAGGATTAAAAGCTCAGTATATAAACTACATATTCTATGTATTATTATGAGCCCAAGGTTTTATTTTATTTGTTCGTTCGTTCGTTATTTTTTTTATTTCCTTTCTCTTTCTCTTTCTCTTTTTCTCTTTGATAAATACAATGTCTTTTACTTTAATTAGTCAATATGATGTGACTGTTTTAATTAAGGGAAAATTATCAAAGTCATCAATTGATTGAGGAGATGAAATAAATTATAATTGAGAAACAGCTGAAAATATCTAGATAATTGTATTTAAATAATGGTCATAGTTTCATTAATTATTGAAATTGAATGAAACAGAAAAGGATGAAAATGATTGGCACCACCATCATCATTATAAATTGTAATTAAATTGATTTTGTTTAATTTTCTCTTTTCAGGAGCTATAATGACCTATGCTTTTATTGGAACTACAATCTCATGTTTTGTTGTTGCATTTATCCTTTACGGTTTAATGCTTTTGATTCCTAAATACGGTTTCTCTTTTGCCGATTGTCTATATTTTGGGGCCACTATTTCAGCTACCGATCCAGTTACCGTATTAGCAATATTTTCTGACCTTCGAGTTGATGTAACCCTTTATGCTTTAGTCTTTGGTGAATCAATTCTTAACGACGCTGTTGCAATTGTTCTAGCTGGTTCAGTGAACACTTTTGAAGATCATTACCGTACCAGTGGAGGTTTAAATCCGTTCCAGGCCGCCGGTAAAGCCTTAACCAATTTTGTTTACAGTTTTTTCTCTTCCCTTCTCCTTGGATCTTTTGTTGGCTGTTTTGCTGCCCTGTTAACCAAATTTACGCGGCTTTGTGATTTTCCACTTCTTGAAACTTGTCTCTTTGTTCTAATGTCATATACTGCTTTCCTTTTATCGGAAGTTCTTGCACTTTCTGGTATTGTTGCAGTTCTTTTCTGTGGTATATGTCAGGCCCATTATACCTACAATAATCTTTCTAAAGAATCTCGTGATCGAACTAAACAATTATTCGAATTGCTCAGTTTTATGTCAGAAAATTTCATCTTCACATATCTTGGTGTTTCCATGTTTACCTATCCAACGCATAAATGGTCTTTCGGTTTCATTTTGGTCGCTTTTATAGCTATTATTTTGGGCCGAGCATTACATGTTTATCCATTAACCTTCATCTTAAATCTTGGACGTAATAATAAGATTCCACTCAACTATCAACATGTAATATTTTTTGTCGGCCTTCGTGGTGCCATGGCCTATGCTCTTGCCATTAGGAATACCCTTTCTGAACCAAGGCAAATAATGTTAACAACAACAAGTGTCATCTCAATAGTTACCGTTATAGCTTGTGGAGGTTTCACCTCATCGGTACTTCAAGTACTCGAGATTCCTGTTGGAGTTGAAGAATCAGAACATGAGATGCTTCCATTTTCCGATGTAAAACGAAGTAATTCAGTGACAACTCCTATTGAACTTCAATCTCCCACATCACCGGGAGGTGAGAAACTTTCAGGAGAACCTACAACAGCTTCACGTTCTGTCTACGAGAAAGCTTGGCTTGTTCGAAAATGGTACAATTTTGATGTTCGATACATGAAACCTTTATTAACTCACTCAAGACCCACCTTAATGGATACCCTTCCCGGATGCTGTCTACCTATTTCTCGCCTTTTAACAACCACTCAACAATTAACCTCCGATGAGATTGGTTCACATAAAAGGTTTAACAATTCTGGTGCTGATTATGAATATGATTCAGATGATGATTATGTATTAACTCGTGACTCTCGTCCATCGAGTATTCAAGTTGTCCCACCTTCAAGCTGCTCAGTAACAACCAAAAAGTCCAACAACGTGATATCAAGATCAAGTCCAAGAGGAGGAACAAGGGTTGGTTTCTCTAATCGAAATGCAACTAATTGTGATTATTTAGATGATAAATCAATTTTAGAGACTAACAACAGTGTTACCTATTTATCCAATTCATCTAAATTTAAATCAACTGGTTTACAATCTTCCAATGGGCATGAACCTTCAATTTCCGGCGATGATTTCATTTAATTAGCATGAACATACTTTTAATTTAAAACCATTAGCATCATTTTGATTTTTGTGATCTATTTATTTTCCAACGCACTGGTCTCTCTCTCTTTATCTCTTACACCTATTAATATTTTGCTGGAAAATATTGTATTAATTGCTCACAACCAAAACCTCATACAAAATAATTTAGTCAAACCACCAATGTGATATCTCAAAGATTATTATAATTATCACTATCAACAACATCCTTTCACTGAATCATATTTTTCTCCTCGAATTGTAATTATTTTGATTATGTTCCTCTTTTTTGCTGTTTAATTTCCACCATCAACTCCACGCTCAATTTGTTTGTAACATTATGATTATAATTATTATTGTTTTGTTTGTTTCTATTCAATATTATCAAGTATTCCAAATCCCCACTCCCAGGGTTAAGATTTACCTTAACATTTAACCTTAATTTCCGAATCTAAATCAAGTCAATTGTCATTTAAATATCTCCTTGTACTTTTCTCTCCCTTTCCTTACTCTTTCCTGTCCTTACTCGCTCTCCCAAAGACCTAAATTATATAATGGACGTGAACAATTGCTCTCAACCCAAGAAAAATTATCTCAAATTTACCCACCACTTTGATTATCAACAATTTAACAAATCAATCGTTCATAATGATTTGATTATCTCTCTTCCTTTTCCTTTCTATTGTTAAACTTGAAAGATTTATATTATTTTCACCCTAATCATCTTACAAAAAAAGTATCAGATGATTTAAAGTCAACGAGAAAAAAAACAAATCATAATAATTAACTAATTGTTTTGCAACCAAACAATCAAACTCATTGATTACCTTATATTGTTTTATTTATATATTTTTTTCATCCGATTTGCTGTTTAATTTCATTTATGTATTTGGAATTAGAGTCAAGGAAATGATCGTCATCATTAACAATCTAAATCAACAATTAATTTCTAAGGTGATGAACAGTGAATTTACTTTGATTCCAAACTAACAATTTAATTTCCATCTCAATGATCAACCTTTAATTATGAATGAATTGTTAATTGTTACTAATCAATTACTGTTTATGATTCAGTGATTCTCAATGGTTTATCTTGTATTCAATTTCTTACGTTTAACTTTGATTACTTTTTTTTTAATTGTGATTTATTTTAATTGTTTTCTCTTTAGACATGGCGTGCCTAATATGTGACAAATAATCAAGGAATTAACTAATTACTAGGAATGCTCAATTATATTTTGGTGAAAATGTTTAAACGATTCAATCGTTTGCTTTGTGAATTAATTGCTGATGCTGATGTTAAATTGGTCTACAAGTTAATGATAAATCAAATCGGATTAAATGTTTGATTTTTTTCTCAATTGGTACAAATTGTGATCATAATTGATTGATTATTAAAGATTATCAATTGATTGGTTCAAATTGTAAACTTGAATTACATTCCTATCCAAAGCTTTTACGTTAATTGTTCACAATTAACTTGAAATCCATTGGGGCAAAAGCATTTAAAGTGTCAACATTAATCATCATCTCCAACAATTTAATAATAACAGTGATTCCCTTACAATTAAGTTACAATAATTTTAATTGTTTACTTTTAAAAGAAATAATCTTTTTTTCAATAATTAACTAAAACTATTACGATTGTGATTTAAACTTGACCACGTGAATTAATTGCTAGAACAAATTTCCAATTAAACCCTCGAGAATCTAAAGGTAATCATATTAAACCTAGTTAATTGTTTCCTTCCACTAATTAAGATTAATTAATTTACTAATTTCTTTTCTATTATTTTTCAGATTAAATATTTTCTCTCAATTTAATCATCTTCATGGAAACAATTATGTCCCTCTGATTGTTTATTACAATTTGGTAATCAATCAATCACAATTAACAAAGGCACAAAAACGATACAACAATTAAAACTAATCAACGTCACAAATTGTAATATAACAACAACGACAACAACAAAATGAAACAAATTTATCTGGATCACAATTAAAAATCATGTTGATTGATTTCTTATTATGAACCAATGCTAATTACCAAATGTTATTGAAATAAATTTCTTACAATAAATATAACAATACAATTAACAACAATTAATAACCTTTTTGATCAATATTGATTTATAAACAATCACCAGGATAATCAATCATTTAAAAGGTCAAATCTAAATATATATATTATTAGATTGCTACAATTAAACTGACCAGTCCAATTGAAAATTTAATGTAAACTTAAAATACAATGAGAAATTAATAATCACAATCATGATAATAATTCAATTGTATGAATAGACAATTAAATTGTGAGTTGCAAGTAAAAAAAAAACAGACAGACTGATTATCTTAATCATCTTTGTGTACACCAAATTGTAATCGTTAATTGCTGCCCGGGTGCGACGATAACGTAATCAAGAATATGAGATATAAATTGTGGATCATCAACACGATGATTTAAAGGAAGAGAATAAGAAAATGATGATGATGATGATGATGATGATACGAATGAAGATAGACCTTCCCTTTAACCTTGTTCGAAGCGTTGAACGAACAAAAAATTAAGCGAATCCAGTTAATCCAGTTTGTTATAGTTCCAATGATCAGTTAAACTGAATGGAAATGTTTACTTTTCCAAACCATTTTCGAGTCTCCCGGTTGGTGATCTTGTTGTTGTTGTTGTTGATGATGATGATGATGATGGCGATGATAAGGTAAGAGATGGAGGAATAGAAGATTAGAAAGAGTGAGTTGAGGGAGAAAGTTTTATAATATAATTTAAACTGCGCCTTCGAATTCACTTTTTATTTCATAAGCTTCAACTAACCGACGTCGACGACACCAAAACGATCTGATCGGTTTTTTCTTATTCTTTTTCGAGTGTTTTTCTTTCTTTGTTGTTGTTCAGTGAACATCATCATCGTCATCAAGTTTTCATCGATAAATTTTATAAATACAATAAAACACACATCAAGTTAATCGATTTGAACGTCAACATCATATTCGATATCAGTTTAGTGTTGGTTTGAATTTCGATATGTTGAAATTATATTTTCTCGGTAAGAATTTTCATCTTTTCCTTTCAATTTTTTTTTCTTCTCTGGTTTAAATATTGATAATAATTGTTATTCTTTTGTTTTTAATTTTTCTCTCTGATTAATTGGTTGATTAATCTAATTAAGGGTTCTTGTTATCTACAAGTACTTTCACCTTAGTTTCCAGTCAATCGACAGATGAAGGTAATCAAGATGTAAGATCGTCTTCATCTTCCCGTCGGGTACCTGACGGTCGAGGTAGCGATGTCCCTTTCTATGTTGATGTTCACACTCACCCGAAAACGGGTTTCAGTTGTTCTGATAAAAAGGCAGGCCAATATTACGCTGATCCCGTGCAAAATTGTGCCGTTTACTATATCTGTTTAGCTGATCAATATGGACGATTATCACCAACATCGTTTGCTTGTCCCAACGGAACCATTTTCAATCAAGCAACTAAAGTGTGTTCACCTCATGATCAAGTCGATTGTAATCTAGCGACACGTTATTACGATTCGTATCGAGGTAAGTCCAATAAAGTTGTTAAATTTAATTCTAAACAGATGAACAATCACTCAACTGAATTAGGAACAATTAACAGACAGAGAGAGGAAAAGAGTTGATCACAATCAACATTGAAAAGAAATCAAATCAATGACATGAGATTAACTCTATTTGATTTATAATCTTAAAATCAACTAATTCAACAATTGAATATCAAATAGGTTTGTGAAAATTAATCTCTCAAAATTTGAATAGTTAAATCAACAACAATTAACATGTAAGATTAGTAAACAATTAACATTTCCTATTAAAACTTTCAGGTTAATAAGTTGATTGAAATATTGGCTTTTTCCTTAATTTGTTTTTCTGGTTAATCCAATTTATTACTTAAACCAGATCAACTAATTTACAATCAACAATCATCACTTAATAAATTAAGTTAATTAATCAGATTGAAGATGAAAATTTTCAATTTTCTCCTTGAAATTTTGTTACACTTTCACTTTGATTGTCTTAATTGTTTTCACTGACTAATAATAATAATCAATTGTTTATAATTAACTTAATCATTAGAGGTTCATTGACCTACTAAAATTAAAAAACAAGGTAAATCTAAATTAATCCAGTTCTATTTAATTTTAATTCACTTTTCCTCTCCCAAATCAACTAAACGGTAAAAGGCCAAACAATTAAGATGGACAATTGAACTAGATAATAATTATCTTTTTCTTGATTAGATTTAGAATGAAATGAAAACTGAACACACCCTGATTCCTATCAACATGATTCTCAGTTAATTGTGATTCTAATTATCTGAATAATCTGAATAAATCATCATGATTAACTAACTACTATTTACAGAAATTGAAACCAGTTTGGTTTGTTTGGTTTGAGTATTTTTAGTTTGAAGAGAAAGTGAATCTCATCAGATTTAATTAACAATTAATCCTTTTGTTAAATCATCAATAGTTTATGATTATTAAATTGTGGCTCTCACACCTAAATTGTCAGGTTGATTAGGTGTGGTTTCGTTAATTGTGATTATCATGATGATTAACTTCCTCCTCTCTCCCATGAATCTTGACAAACCGAAACAATTTCATTGTTTATTTACAATTTAAAGTTTAATCCATTGAGACAATTTTGACAATTTAATGATCACTTAATTGTGATCAACTAAATTGTACAATCATCTTAATCTATTAATCTCGTAATGATAATCATAATCACGGAAGTGTCGTTAATTGTGATGGTCTGTCTTTTTTTCTGGTTATGTATTAGTTAATAAATTGTTTGGTAATATGATTAACTAATTACACTTTTTGTATTAATAATTGTTTCCAATTAGTTATGTGAACACAATTAAATTTTATTGACTTGCTTGAAAAATTAAAGAGAGTAGATTAGCAATTGATTTACATGTTAATTAACTAAATTACATCTAATCAAATAGTTTAAATATTCATAAATTTCCCTTTTTTCTGGTAAATGATTAGTTAATTGTGATTAGTTTTCTCTTAAATCATCAACCATTTTAATTTTCACAAGTTTTCACTTGAATTTCATAAGGAAGTTGGTTAAGTTAATTGAACAATTAATTTCCATGTTAACTTCATTTTCCCAATTGGTCAAAGTTAATTTAAGTTAATTACTAATTATTATTTAAATTGTAACTTCAATTTAATAATTGATCAAAAGGTTTGATTAGTTTCATTAAGATGTTGAACTTGTCGATTGATCAAAAAAAAAACTTTCCAAACTTTTTTCTGATCTTAATGATGATTAACTTTCATTGATGACAATTAATTGCGTCTCTAACGTTTTTATTGATTACAGTTTGGGTTGATTGGGTTTCGTATCTGTAACAATTAACTACTTAATTGTAATCTGTTTTTGGCATAACTATCAACCTAATGATAATAATCAAGATCAAGATCATTTCGTAATTTGTTTTAATCTGAAAATTTAAACACTTTTAATGATTAAACTAAATTGTTATTATTAATAGTTGGGAGATAAACTAAATCATGAGACAATCAACTTAATCAAGACGATCATGAAATTGGGCGTTCGTCAAATTAACTTAATAATAATCAAATCAATGATCTTAAGAAACAATTTCTTGTCCAACAAACAATTAACGATATTAATCAGTGTTGACAATTAAATTTGAAACCGATTAAGCGTTAATTGTTACTTGATAATCTAGTGATAGTGATTTATTAATAGATTCAAATCTAATCTGAAATCATTAACTGATTAGAAACTTTTTCCTAATCAAATTAAATCTTCTTGATTGTTGGTTACGTTCACAATTAAATGTTATTTTGAGTAGAAATTTGTTTTCATTTTCTTGATTGTTAACAAGTTAGTAGATTTAATTTAATGATAGTTATCGAAATAATGAATTACGATAGTAACAATTAACGAAAAATTTAACGATATTAATCACTTTCATCACGTTTTCTAATTGTTGTGAATAAAAAATGTTGCGATTTACAACTAAGGCAAGTTAACAATTAGAATTGTTTGATTAAATGATTAGATAGAAAGTTTTTAAATAGATGATTAAGTTAATTGTGTTGGTGAAGAGTAAAAATAAATCCGATTTTAAATTGTAGTCTCTTTGAATTATTTACCTCTATTCATAGATGTTGACTTGGTCTCTCATTGTTAAAGGTTAATCGATTTTAATTGTTTCTCTTTTGTTTTATGTTGATATAATTAGGACACATAGATAGTCAAGGAACTGACCCTAATCAGTATACTGCTCATTATGAGACTGTCCCTCGTCGTGAGGCTCCACCTCGAGCTCGACCTGTTGCCGCTTCCGTTCCCAGTGCTCCAATTGCCGCTCCTGTTGCACCAGTGTCTCCGCCATTACCTGTGACCCCTTCTAATCGTAATTCATTCAATCGAGGCAGCAATCGATTTGGTTCATCATCGTCATCATCGTCATCATCATCTTCTTCATCGTCATCTTCATCTCTACCTCAATCCCAACCTGCTGCTTTACCCGTACGATACTCAACACCAACGCGACGTGGCCAGTTCCGTCCATCTTTAGCCGAAGCTCCAATTCGTTCAGCCGCACCCGTTGCTCCATTGACCACAACCACAACCACTACTACAACAACCACCACAACTACACCTTCACCTCCTCCAGTTGAATATGTTTACGATTACGATTACGATCCAAATAATCCCGGTAATCCAAACAATAATCCAAACAATGGTCCTGTCAATCAACCAGGCAACGTTTTAATTGGAGCCGGAAATCCACCTCGATCACAACTATTCCCACCCGGCCAACCTGGTTTCCAACCTCAATCCCTACCACAATTACCTCCACTCTCACCTTTAGCCCTACCCATCGGTTCATCCTCATCTTCATCTACATCAATTTCCTCACCAATCCTTGGGCGTAATAAACGATCAGCCGAAATTGAAGAAACTGATACAAGTTTGGTCAATGTTGATCGACGATCTCGACGTAAAAGCGCCTTAGAACTTAGTTCCGAGGTCGGTTCAGTTGAACGGGTCAAACCTTCAAACTTTACCTGTTCAGGTAAAGTCTCCGGCATCGCTTATGCCGATGTCGCAAATGATTGCAAACTATTTCATGTTTGTCTACCAGAAACCAAAGGTAAATTAAGTGATTATCAACTTTTCTGTGACAAAGGATTAGGATTTAATCAACTTAAATCAACCTGTCAATCATTAAGTAAATTTGATTGTTCCAAATCTGAGAAATATTATCCAGTAGATAAATCAAGTGATCATGAAGGTTATCGTAAAAATAATTGGAGAGTTAACAAGAAATTAAGAGGAGCAATTAAAAATAATGGAAACAATAGTAAGGCAATTAAATTGTAAATCCAAAAGAAAAAAAAATTGCGAAAATCAAATGAAATTAACTCAACGAATTTAATATTATTGCCAAATTTAAATCAACACAATCAAGATTAATTAAATCAATTGAATCAATCATCTTCATCTTCACCACCACAACAATCATCATTTAAAAGTAAACATTAATTATTTCATTAAATTGTAATCAATATAAACACTCAACAAAATTATAATTATTATTTTAGTTAACCAATTGTTGCCATTTTTATACAAAAGCATCAAAGTTAATTGTGTATCAAGAAATTTAATTTGTCTGCACCAAATTGTAACTCAATTTATGATGAAAATAAATTTAATTGTCATTTTTTAAGATGGTTATCATTTTAATCAATTTTTAATTGTTTAATTTAACAACAACAACAATCGGATTAACGGTAAATTTGTTGTTTGTCTTATTTTCATTATGACAATTTAGTTTTTTGTTTGTGTTTCTCAAGATTCAATGGTTAATCTTGGACAATAATCATTAAGATTTAATCACAGTAATTGATGAAAAATGTATTCAATCAAAAAAGTGCAACGATAATGATTAACAATCAATATTTGATCAGAATGCACTTTGACTGAATTGGACATGATGAAGTCTACAGTTTTTTTCGAGAAGATGAAAAGTTGAACGAAAAAAACAAAGATAGAAATCAAATTAAATTGTTCGTTTTTCATCGTAATTAGATTTTGATGATGATATTTAACACGATTTTAGATTAATATTAAATCATCTGGTTTGTTTTCTGCTGTAATCATGTAAAAGTAACAAGTAAACAACAACAGGAACAACGATCAGTTGATGAGAAATTGTCACAGTTTATATTTCAACTAATAATTCTGGCAGCAATTAACGATTTATATCAATTGATTGGTTAATTATTCGTCTAGAAGCTCTTTCGTTTTGGCTTTGAACATTTCGTCGCACTTTTTAATTATCTCCTGTGAACGGGCTCTTATATTGTCGGTTGCATCTCTAATTGTTTCTTGACTTATTCCCGGTTTATTGGTCTGTTTGGCCTTATCGATGTATTGATTTTGTATCTGATTGATTTCTTGTTTAGCTGAATTGAGAAGTGTCTTTGCCCCTTTGGCCAAATTTTCACGATGTTCACGGGTTATTTTGGGAAGGGTTAGAAAGATTTTCGATCCATCCTGTTGGGGAGATAAGTTCATTCCCGATGAGTTGATGGCCGCAAGTACGGGTTTGATTGCGTCAGGTAGGGAGGCCAGATTGAGAACCATTAGGTTAGTCGATTTCTTAGAGATTTGAGCCAGTTCTTTCAATGGGAAAACGGATCCATCCAATTCAACGGAAATCGTTTCAACACCAAAACCCGATCGTAAACTTAATTGCGTTGAAAAGTCTTCCTTCAATTTAGAGTAAACTGAAGACAGAAAAGCTTCAAACTCTTCAACTGGAATAACCTTTTCCAATTCTTCATCGGACATTTCGTATTTAACACCTTTACCTTTCTTCTCTTTGGTGATTCCACGTTTAGCATAATATCTTTTCTGATTGTAAAAAATGGAACAATTAAAATCAAAAGAAAATTGATTAACTTGATTTCTTTCAGAGTAACAACAGTTTTCCAAACACATGGAGTTTGTTGATTCTGGTGAGAAATTATTTCTTAAACCTCTTGACATCAAAGGTGAAAAAGAATAAAATCTAAGCCCATTAACCCCTTTGATTAACATTCTTAAATTACTCATGATTAATCAATAAAAAAACTCCAAATCAATTGATGAGATCAAACAATCAAAAATCAAAAAAAAACTCAGAAAAAAAGTAAACATTTGTTATTCTGTGAGTTTAGACTTTGAGGTCTATTTTCACAGAAAATTGAGCTATTCTTCGAGAAATTAAAACTTCAATTCTAATGATTAATTTTAGTAAAAATTGACAATTTAATTGTGATTTTCTAATTAATCTCAATAGATTAGCATTTACACTGAGTTTATTAGCTGAATGAGTTAATGTATTATTATTGCTGTTTAATTGTTTCGTTTCATTTAGTGTTTTCATAAAACCGGTCATATTATTTTTGATTGTTTACCTTTTTACTTGATTGAATTTTTATATTTCTATCAATTTAAATTGTTTTAATTTATTGAATTTTGTTGATTTTGGAAATGTTTCTTGAAGGGATTATTGGAATCACATTAATTGTTTATGTTTTCAATCTGGTTTATGGTAAATTGCTGAGAGGACGTAAAATCAATGGGATCAACGAAAAAGCCGTAATGGTAACTGGATGTGATTCTGGACTTGGCTTGGAAATGATTAAACATCTTAATTCAATTGGATTTGTAACAATTGCCACTTGTTTAAATTGTAATTCCAAAGGATATCAAGAATTAATCACCAAAGGCGAGAGGTGTAAAGTAATTATCATGGATATAACCAAAGAAGACCAAGTAATTGAAACTTTCAACGAAGTGAAAAGTTACTTGAATCAAATGGGAATTGATGGTAAATTTAAATTAACTTTTCTACACTAAATCAATTAGCTAATTGTTAATTGTTATTTTCCCAGGTCTTTATGGTTTAGTTAATAACGCTGGTGTTTTGATAAACGGTGAATTTGATTGGTGCACTTGGCCTCAGATCAAGAATCAAATTGATGTTAATTTAACTGGTCCAATACAATTAACCAAATTATTTATCGACGATATTGTAAACAATCAAGGTAAGTAATTTACTAATGACAAATGGAAATTAAAATTAAAATAATTTTCTTTCAAATTCTATCAACAGGAAGGTTAATCTATGTTACCAGTTTGGTTTCTACTGTTCCGTTTCCGTTATGTTCAACTTACTGTTCGACCAAAAGTGGCCTTTCAATGTTTGCCGAAGGTCTTTCAGCGGAATTAGATCGATTCGGTGTTAAAATTATTCTTCTACAACCAGGAGATTTTACTAAATTAACTAATATCGTTCAAGTGACTGTTAAAGCTTCAACCATGATGAGAGATTCATTTAATGAGAGGAAAAAAATTCTCTATGGTGATTATTTTTCACAATATTATTCGAACATGATTAAGGATCTTGGAATCATTTCTTATGACAATTACCGAGATTCATCTTTAAATCATGATATTGAAGAAGCTCTGACATCAGTTAATCCTCGATTAGTTATGGTCCAATCATTCCTATGGTATCAGATAATCATCAAGACGATTAGTATATTACCAAGAAATTGGAGGATTAATATTTCCAAATTTGTTCAATATTTATCTCGAAAGAAATTGATTAACTCAGATGAGCAAGTTAATCAGTGATTAGTAATTTTTGAAATGTTATTGAAATAACGATCGACTGATTTGCAAACACTTTTAAGTTTAATTATTTCTATACAAAATTGTATTTAATTGTTGAATCTGCGTTTTATTTACAAATAAACACAGAGAATTAATAAATTTGGTCAAGTGATCAAAATAACGTCGATGTTTGGATGTTTTTTGCATCTCATGCCAATGTCTATTCAAATTCATGGGAATGTTGATTATGATTAATACGCTAACAGTAAATTAAGTATAAATAATCACAATCATTGGAGAAAAGGAAAATCAATCCAACAAATTGATTCTCTTTTTTTGGTTATGGATTTTGCATAGACATGGATTGTTTTTCAGGTTAATCAGTGACTTTCATATGATTGGCATGAGTTGATTTCAATTGGTAAGGCAGTTAATTGTGAACCAATAATTGAGGAAAAATAGAGAGCTGATTCACGAACACTAGTAAGTTTTGGATGAGGATAATGTCCGTTTCCTTGGAATCCTTTCAATTATAAGCTCATTTTCAGCGTCGAAGAAAACAGGATCATTGAGAATCTCTGAAGCAAGAGGTCGTTCATCAGGATCACAGGACAATAGTTTACAAATCAATCGACACTAATCATGGAAGAGAAAATCAAAAATTAGAATAAAAAATAACGATCAAAATTCATTAGATTTAAAAACAATCAATTTTTCAACAAAGCAAAATCAAACAAAATGATTTAGATTGTTTGAGAACTAATGTTGTAAAAGTCTCTCAAAGCATTGGCGAGAAGTTAATTACCTCTTTAGGTTGATTAGTTTTAAATTTATTTGGAAATAATCCTTCCTTAATTGAGGAAAGAGTTTTGATTCTTTCCATTTCGGTGTCAAAGGGCATAAGCATCTCGAAAAAGATGACACCCAATGAATAAATATCCACCTTATTTGAATAACTTGATCCAGCGATCTGGTGACAAAAATGATAAAATAAAAATCATCATCAGAATATTAATTAAAAAAAAGGAACAACAATTAAGTGATTCACTATTCAATGAAACATTGTATCAATAATAATAACCTGTTCTGGACTCATGTAAAGTTTGGTTCCAACTTGATCTGTGTGTCGACCCTTGTGTTGGTGCTTTTGACTGTGTGGTGTTTCATTTGAAGGGGTGTCCCCACCTTGAGTACCAAAAAAATCTGACGCTATTCCGGTGACTAAGCCAAAGTCGCCGATTTTAACACAACCATCCATGGCGAAAAATATATTGGAAGGCTAAACACAAGTCACAAAATGACAATTAAACAAGAAAATCAGGTGATGATTAGTCAACTTTAACTGATTAGATTTAATTGGTTCGTTTAACCAGCTTGTTGATTGTTAATTGTTGATGTTATTTTCCTTTTTTTTTCTTCTTACCTTTAAATCTCTATGCATCAATTTCTTTGAATGAACATAATCAACAGCTTCAACAATTTGAATAAAATACTCAAGTATTGGCACTTTTTCACGTTCTTTGTGTGTTTTTAACCATTCACGAAGTGTCTCTTTCTGACATAATTGCATTTGAATGTAAAGATATGCACGTTGTGATTGTTGTTGTTTAGATACAAAATTAACACCTTTGTTTTCACTCTCATCCAATTGTTTGTTGGTGTTTTCTTGATTGTTATGATGATTTTTTTGATTAGCACTTTCACTTTCACCAGTTTTATGGTTATTATTTACTGATGATTTTGTATTGTTTTGAAAGACCACATAAGAATCATCGTCATCATCGTTATTACGATTGTTACCAAAAGAAAAATTATCCAAATCTTTTCTGTTCTTAGGCCATTGCTGGTTTATTGGTGGTGATGAGGATGAAGATGAAGATAATGATGATGATGATTGTTTATTAGGCTTTAATTGTGATTTAGCCGAATTAGGATCACTTCCCCAGTAAGAACTTTTATCAATTATTAAAGCAGAATCTGCTTCTTCTTGCCAACCCAAGGGTGGAACCTCGAGCCAAGAATTGTAGTAACGGACAATTCCGTGATGTTCAAGGTTGGCCAAAGCTCGAACCTCTCTCATAACCTTATCTCGAGCTGATTGTTGAACAGGTAAATCAATTCTTTTAACAGCATAATGACAATCATCGATTCGATTTCGAGCTTGAAAGACAACACCAAAACCTCCTTTACCAAGGCAGCAAATTGGCTCAAAATCGGTTATATAACGAGAAATGTAATTAACGAAAGTCACTCCATTCGGCAATGAATTTGGTCGTATAGTCGCCGCTGGTGAATCGTCTAAACTGATAGGCTGTTGTAAAGATAATGTTGGCGTTGAAGGACTTGTAGAGTTTGTCGATCGATTATCATCTGTACACTCGGAAGATCGAGGTGATCTATTGACTCGACAGAAAACACCATCATCTTCCTCCGATGGTAATTTAAGGAAAACTTTTTTAATAACGTGTCTACGAAAATAGGAGTATGCAAAGTTAATTAAGATCGCAAGGCAAATGCTAATTATTGCAACTTCTTTCCACCAATGCCACAAGGAGATTATGATTATTTGTTCAATTGAATCGCCTGGTGATTGGGTTCCATTGAAATAATCTTCAGCTGATAGATTGACAAGAGTTAAATTATCTTCAACATTTGATGGTGGATAACATTGAGTTTTGGTATCATCTGATTTCATGAAGATAAATTGACCCTGGGTTGGTATGATTAACTCTCGAGATCCACTTGGAATAATTTGTAAATCATTTCCATTCTCAGGATTTGATTGCCATTCAATTTGAGGTATAAATGGATGGAGATGATGATGATGATGATGATGGTCAAGATTATGAATAGATGAAGATGAAGATGATTGTGAGTAAAATGTTTTCCCAATCTCTCGATATCGATCTCTAATTGCGTTTGAGTGTTGAATGTAATATTGATTGTTGTGACTTCCAATATAAAGAATTGGTTTCTTGTAAAGTGATTCAGATGATGTAAGGTCATGTCGGAAAAGGTCAACATTGTCCAGTTTTCCATTCTGATATAACCACATACCGACAATTGGTGATTCTAAATTTTGAGTCCAAAGTAAACGATTCTCTCTTCGAGCCTGCATTCGTATTAGACCATCGGCAATGGAGATCGATAATTTCTCATCGGTTCGTTCACTTGTCGATTGTGAGCCAACATCATCAAATAGATGACAATCATCGGTTTTACTTAAAAGTTGAGCATTATTTTCACCGACACTGAATTTCCACTGTTCCACTCCACTTCGAGGATCAACTGCTTTTACCTTTTGTCTCAATTGACGAATTAAAATGATCGTTTCATTTGAATCATCATCTCGACTTCCTCTCGGGGTATTAGTACAATCAGCCAAACCACACGAATAGATTAAGTCACCAGAAAACAGATCAAAGGCAAAGGTTCTCACTTCTTTACCTCCATTAATTAGTAAATCATCGCCTAATTTAAAGGAACTTTTCAATAAAATATCAGCATTAAGGGGAACTGGTTCAATTATGTTATATTGTTGATTTAGTTTGTAAAGACTTCCATCTAGAGCTGGAACTAGTTTGAAATAAATGGCATCACTGATAAATTGAAAATCACCAATGGTTGATTGTAATAATCCATCATCATCAGTTGAATATGACCAAAGTATTTTACCATTATCGTTTAAATCTAAAGCAGTTACCTTACCATCAAGAGTTGACACAATGTAACAATCAGCTTGATTCATCAATTTTCTTAAAGAGGCTTGTTTAACTGAGCTACAATCAGCAATACCATCCGAAGAGAAGGTAAATCCAATCAGAGTAATCAAAGTAAACAACAGGAAGAAAATAAATTTCACCATTGTTTTCATTAGAAGAAGATGTTGACCAAATGAAATGCGAAAATGAAATGATGATTATAAATTTACAAAGACGCAGCCAACATTATAAACCAAAGTGAAGAAACTGTAAAGATCAGTGAAAGGTCAGGCCAAAAGTCCAGAGGTTATTTTAAACTTTCTTTGGGTCAAGTCTCTCTCTCTCACTCTCTTTCTTACTCTCTTATCTTCCCCTAGTATTGTAATTTCAACAGGTTATTACTCATCACTTGCCACTAGTTTTTACCAATCAAGGATAACCTCTAAACCCATTGTTAGATACTCTCTCATTGACACGGGTCAAGATGACTAATACAAAAAAGGGGAAGATAAGAAAAGAGTGAAGAAAATGATGCTGATGATAATTATAAGTAAATAGAAAAAAAAATCACCACTAATTAGAAAGAAAAAAGGAAAAATAATAATTTAGAATAAAAGGAAAAAAAAGAGAGAAAAACAAAAACGAGAGATGACTAATGTTCCCCAGGCACGAGTGTATTGTTGTGACTCAAGCTCAATTGAAAAGAGAATTTCAACTTGTAGGAATGTTAAATAATCATAGAATATAATTAAATCACCAAAGAAGAATTAATTGATTCACAAGACAAATGATTAATCAAGAAAGAGAAACGAAAAGTAAAATTAAATAATAACAAAAACGTTTCTTGAAAACACAACAAACAACTCACTGTTATAGAGATGAGCAGGGATGATGTAAACATTACGATCGTTTAAAAAAATTGGAATTTAATTTTTCGTTAATAAAAAAAAGAGATAATCAATTTATTTGATTTGTAATTATGTTTGTTAATATGTTCGGAAAAATGGCCCTTGATTAAATCCAAAGAATCCTGGTTGATTGTAACCTCTTCTCCTTCTCATTTCCTCATAAGAAGCTTGACCACCATAGTATCTATTGTATCCTCCTTGATTTTGTTCATTATAATTGTGTTGATTATATTCTTGGCCTTGTGGTCCTGGGTGATTATCGTTTAATCCGATTGGTGCAGTTAATACATCTGAAAATTGACCAGAACATTGATTAGTGGATGATTGGAGTATGGAAATAGTGTTTTCAAATTGTAAAAAGACTTACGATAAGTTAAATCGATGAAAGCTCGAAGTGGACCTTTACAATACGCTAATCCAACCAAGATTCCCGATAAATGTCCAATAAATGAAGCGTTCGGACTAACTATTTGAATGAAAATCAGTTCACCCCAAACAGCGTGTCTAGCGGCCATTGGAATACCAAAGACACTGGTATAAGCGGCCACTGGCCAGTAATATGTGGTAAGAACCTTAAGAGCAAATATTACACCTGAAGAGGAAAACAACAATGAAATTGAAAATTTAAATTTTCTTCAATGATATTTTATGATTATGATGTAATTTTACTGGTAAATTTCATCAATTGAATTGGGTTTCAAGGCCAAGTGTAAATGCAAGTGTTGCAATTACCTGAGAATCCGATTGCACAAACACTATTGTATTGATAGTCACCCGTTAATCGTGCTAAACAATAATAGAGTCCAATATATGTCGCATTACAAGTGAGTGTAAATATGATTAACATGTAGAGAAATTTAAATGGACCAAATCGTTGTTCCAAAGTTCTTCCTTTCCAAAGGAATGAGATCATATTATAATATAAATGATAATCATCTGCATGTTCAAATGCACTGGCAATTAATCTGATCCATTGATGATGTTTAATTACATGAGTTACATCAAGACAAACATCATAATGATTAGACCAAGGGACCTGGAACAAGGAAAATAAAAAGAAATAGAGAAACAATCAAAGAAAAATAAACCAAAAGAGAAAATTATCTATTAGTGAATCAAATTGGAAAATGATACCAATCAATTGAAAGATAAATAAATACCAATTAAACTTATAATTACCGCAATTAGTCTGAGAAAAATTAAAATCTGAAGACCAATTGTAACCAATGTAACCGGAGGAATTCCCGAAGTAGTGGCGACTTGGAACAATTCAGTTAACAATAAAATGGTCGCAATTGAAGGTTGCCGACCTCCCCTTCTCTGTCTGAACATGATTAACTGATCACCGGAGACTTAATTACCATGGAAAATCAAAGAGAAACAAATCAATCACTTAATTAACGGAGAAAATTAACTCTAATTGTTTATTGTTTATCTTTTTTAAAATTCACTCTCTTCACTTGTAAACATATGAGAGTCTCGATCATCCCCCAAGAATTTTTTCCATGGCGGTAAAAACAAATGAACGAATTTAAACAATTAATTAAAATTGTAATTCTATTTTTAATTTAAATGGAAAGAAATTAATCTCGCCACTATGATTAATTATCTTTCACATGTCAATGTGTCAAATCTGGCCACTGGGAAAACAGTTAATCATTTTACAACTCATTCATTTGTTACCAATTACTACAAATGATCAATGAGGAAAACGTAAATCAAAAACGAAACAATTAATTAAACTAACGAAAGTTATTATTTCAATTAGTAGACAAGAGATTTAATTAAGTTTAAATAGAAGAGAAATTTTGTTTTTCTCGATAGACTTTTCTTTCAGTTTATTCATAATTAACTAATTTCTTTACTCATTCGTCCGGTTGTAGATCCACAAGCAACTCGTGTTTCCTTCCGGTAAAATTCATTTCAGATGAAATTGATTCATGAAAATCAGTCAGTCTCTCAATCCATTTATCGGAACACTCGAACCCGCCACAATAACAAAGATCGTACAAAAAGTCCAAATGTCCAAACCAGTAAACTTCGAAGTGATTTTCAATTTCAATTTCGTTTTCGAATTTTCGACTTTGGTTTTTGCCCTAAAGAAAGTTAAACATTTTCCGTATTGATGTTCAATTTTTTTCTTCATAATTTTCATTCCTCTCAATCTTTTATTCCTACTAATCGATGGTCCTAATTGTGGCACTTTTTTTCCTCGAACTCTTGATCTGAATGAACATTTTTGCTTCTCTAATTTGTAACTTTCTCCAACAAGAGATGGCGCTGGAAGAATAGAAAGCGACCCCTGGTGGTAGAAGAATAAATAATCAGGGGAAGATTAAACAATTTTTAGTCTCTTTGATTACTTTCAATTTTCAATTCATTTTTGTCTGTCATTTAACATTAACAACATTTGGGATTAAATTGTTTCTTTTTTTATAATTAGCCAACAATCAATTTTAATATGAGTGAATACGATGTTGAAGGATACAATGGTCAGGAAGACGACGGTCGAGATGGTCTTCTTGACCCGGCTTGGGAGAAACAGCAGCGAAAGGTAATTTCTGATAATCTTTTTTATTTCTTTCTCTCTCTCTCTCTCTCTCTCTTTCTCTCTTTTATCCTCTTCTTTTTTCTTCTTTTCTTCATCATCTCCTTTTTCCCCTTTTTTTATATGTATGTGTGTCTGTCTCTGTCTATCTTCCCTTATGTCTTCCTCTTCTTCTTCATCTTAGCCTTATTTTTCACCTTATTTTCCTCTGTAAATTTTGTTATTACCAAAATTTTATTCTATTCTCTTTGACTTTGATGTCTTTCTCTCTCTTTTCTCTCCCTGATCTCATTTTCTACAGACCTTTACGGCTTGGTGTAATTCTCACCTAAGAAAAGCTGGAACTCAGATAGAAAACATTGAAGAAGACTTCCGAAATGGCCTTAAACTTATGTTACTTTTGGAAGTTATTTCTGGTGAAAGTTTACCCAAACCTGATCGGGGTAAAATGAGATTCCACAAAATTGCCAATGTCAATAAAGCCTTAGACTTCATTGCCAGTAAAGGAGTTCGTTTGGTTTCCATTGGTGCCGAGGAGATTGTAGATGGAAATGTAAAGATGACTCTTGGCCTAATCTGGACAATCATTTTGAGATTCGCCATCCAAGATATCTCCGTTGAAGGTGTGTGGTTTTCTCTCTCCCTCTCTGCGTTCATATATCTGTAGATTCGAAAAATCAAATGAGGAAATCAAGCGAAAACATCGAGAAAAGTTGATGGAATGCAAAAAAAGATTCGTCAAACAAAATTTCTCCTAGAGAAAAGAGAAAGCCCAATATATTGCTAAATTTATTTTCTACGAAAGATGATTCTAATAATTTGATCATTTATCTTTTTTCTCCAATCTAATCAGAGATGACCGCTAAAGAAGGACTTCTCCTTTGGTGTCAACGAAAAACGGCTCCCTACAAGAACGTTAATGTTCAAAACTTCCATATGAGCTGGAAGGATGGTCTTGCTTTCTGTGCATTAATTCACAGGCACCGTCCCGATCTCCTTGACTATTCAAGTCTATCCAAAGTGAGTTAGCAGTTTGACAATGACAATTAAAATTGTATCATCAATATATATATATACAATTCATCATCACTTACCACCCCGCTCTACAACCATCATTACTATCAATCTATTAATATCCATTGTTTTTTCTTCCATTAATTTCATGACATCATTATTTTTTTCCACCCTATTCAATAATACTCATAGGATCATCCATTAGAGAATCTAAATTTGGCTTTCGATATCGCCGAGAAACACCTTAACATACCTAAAATGTTGGACGCCGAAGGTATGACGATTGTTTTCATTTTTCTTCTTATATTCTCTTTGGTATTATTATGATGACAAAAAGAAAAGGATGATAATGAGAATAATCAATTTCTTATTGTTTTTGATTACAATTTTGATAACTTTGTTTATATGTTGTTGTTGTTGTTGTTGTTGTTTGTTATTACTTTTTTATACATTAGATTTACACAACAACAAACTACTGTCCGGGTTAAGATGATTTTAGGTTTTGAGAAGCTTAATAAGGTCTCAATAGTGTAAATATCTTTGCCAAGAAAACGTTAGAGAATCAACGTAATTATTAGAATATCTTGTCAAGTTCCTTTCCGGAATTCGTATTAACCAATATGAGCTGCCAAGTTATTTTCTCTCTCTCTCTCTCTCTCTCTTTCTTTCTTTCTCTCTTTCCTTCTTTCTCTCTTTCTCTCTTTCTTTCTTTCTTCTTATTTTTCAAGATCTTCTCTTTCTCCTTCATCTTATTTCTCAGATTTTCTAATTTCGCTTTCCCCCCACCTCCCTTTTAGAATGAGCAGCAAAATTTTCTCTTCTCGAAAATTTTCATTTTAACAATTAAGCATTAACACAAAAATAGTAATCACACCAAAAAGCTTATGTATTATTCACCAACCCAAACATTATGAGTCTAATTTGTCTACAATCGTTATCTTCCTCCCTCTTTACTCTGCACTCTCAAGGGGAGGGCATGAGAATTAGGTTTTCAAACTTATTCATTGCTTACTACAATTACCACAACAACAACAACTAATATCAACTAAATTAACAATATTATTAGATTGAGATGTTATGGGAAGGCAAATAATATAAATTATATATTAATGTAGATACATTTACATGTATTGTATTGCATGATCACTTTTGTGTATGTAAAAAAAGGGTTTAATTTTTGTATTCTCTCTCTCTCTCTCTCTCTCTCTCTCTCTCTCTCTCTAATTCAACTGTCATTAATTAACTGTTGTTACAAGTGAAAATGTTTATTTTGAGAGAGAGAGAGAAACAACAACAATAACAATATTGCCTTGATGCATCTAATGATGATTTTGATGATGAAGATGATGACTGTCGACTCATCCGAACCGGCAACACGTTTCTCTCAATTGTATTATTATTATTACATTAATAATCAACACGCTACCAAGTGTAAAGACTATTAATTCAATTTCATGTTGTTTGTTAGTTAATTGTACATAAATAATAATTCACTGTCATCATAGAATAAGGTTTTCTTTTTTGTTTAGCTTCTAATGTTTAACAGATCTGTTAAATTGTTTGTTATTATTTTCGATATTCCCTTTAAAATTAATTGACTTTTGTTTCTAAATAGTTGCGAGGATATAGTTGAATAAGAACATGATATAATAAGATTATGGTGATGATCATGTTAATTAAATGCTTAAGAAGATATTAGCTTGTTATTAATTACAATGATTAGCAACAGATTATCCGGAAAAGTCTGAATAGTTAAGAAAAAAGTCAAACTTGTTAGTCTTTTAGATCTAGTTGTCATACTTATTTACTTTATAACATCATCATCATCACCATCATCATCATCATCGTCATCAGCAAAGTAGCAAAAACATCAAAGTCCTTTAATGAGTAGGTTATAATTGGTTACAGGCAAGAGAAAAGTGAAAAAGCGGCAAAATTTACGACTTTTAGTTAGTAAAAAAGTTCAGTCTCATTCTGAGTTTAATATTGCGAAAAATTGATAAGAATGATATTGAAAAGATTTTATGTAAATAAGTGTGTTGAAGTTTAACCAGAATGAAACAGTTAAGCTAATCTGTTGTCTACTAATTCAGTTATTTAACGTTAATTTTTTTCCTTCTTGCTTTCTGATTCCATCCATCTAATTACATTAGTGTCTTGTTGTTGTTGATTGTTGATGATGAAGATTTTTGTTCACACACATACACACTTTCCAACACACCTACTCATTTATCATTTAAGATATTATGTATTACAATTAACTAACTATTTTCACTCACTTTCTCTCTCTCTCGTAATTCAAATGTATATGTTTCATGTTTATCTTTCACACTCACTGTGTTTGTTTCTCAACCATCAGAAACTCACAAAAATAACTAAACCTCAACAGTTAACTAATTTTCATGGTAATCAATATATTTTATTAATTGGTTTTGTCAGACAGTTTCTTTTTAAGATTAAGATTAGTATGAGAATAACTTATCGGTATGTTGATTATGTTGAAAGGGTCATTCAATTATCACCATTTGAATTTCATGCTAATTATCATAATGATTTCTTTTTGTTTTATTTTAATTGTAATTGATTATTTTGATACAAATCCACACACTCAGACATGGTTAACACGGTTAAACCCGATGAAAGAGCCGTTATGACCTATGTTTCCTGCTATTATCATGCCTTTCAAGGTGCTCAACAGGTAAATGATTGAGTGAATATCAATAGAAGAGCAAGTTTGTTTTTCAATTAGTTAATCGTGCAAGTTAATTAATCAAATAGCCCAAAAAAATGAAACCTCTCTTTCACCATGAATGAAATTCAACAACTAACAATAACCAATGGAAACATAATCAACTCAATGTCTATTTGTTTCAAATCGTTGAATATATGAATTAATTTTCACCCAAACAATTGATTAACTATAATTTTACTTTAACAGAATCAAATGTATAAAAACAAAAGCATGTCTTCATTAATATTGATTAGTGATTAATAATCAATATTGATGATAAATCATCCTTTTATCCTCCTATCACTTTATCATCATAATCAACAGTAGTAAACTAACTGCCTTTTCTTTATCAAATAATCTACCAAACAATTAACATGTTAATTACTAATTAATAATTAGTATCTAATCTAAAATGATATAATTCTAATGCATGGAAATGCCTGTTTTCTTTTGTTAAATTATTTCTCTTTTTTATATATTTACACATATCGCTATTTGATATAATTTAAATCACTGACAATTTGCTGATTATTTTTACCTGACGATGATAACAATTAACCAACTACCATTATCACCATGAATGTTCAATGAAACGCTAACCACAAACCAAACCAAACACAAACACACAATTAACAATGAACCACAAACCGATACCTGATGGAATTGACTTTGAACTTGTCATGAACCAACATTGAAATCTAATCATTAATAGACATTAACTCGGCTGCCTGGCCTGATGAGAGGGCAATAATGACTTATGTATCTTCCTATTACCACACATTTTCTCGTGCTCAGCAGGTAATCTAAATGTTTGCTATTCCCTCATTATTATTATTCACTCTCACTCTCTCGCCCTCCCTATGGAATCACCTTTCTCTCTCTCTCTCTCTTTTCCTTCTTCTACTTCTTATTTTTCATCTTCTTCAAATTATTATGGAAATTGTAATGATTATGATTATGAGAAGTTGAAAATTACATTTAAAATCCATTTCTAATGTTAACTATTTACCTTGTGTCCTTTATGCCAATTACCTTTTAAATCTTTCACACACTCAGTAGACTTACGAAGTTCCATCAATTGAACTAATCATAATTACTGCAAAAATACATTACCTTCTTTCTCCCGCCCTTTTTTTCACTCAATTCAAAAATTCCTCATTCATTCATTTTCTCCCCTTACCTTTTTTTTTTCTTCCTTCTCTCAAATCATAATCATATTTAATATAATCTCAATATCGTTTAGTTTCCTTTCTTTTCTCTTTCCTCCTTTTCTCTTCTTCATCTATGATTCCATATATAACTTTTATCCTTTACTGACAAATTGCTAATTTAACAATACCTACTCCCTAAAAATGTATTATCAAAATACAATAATAACATTTGAAAAACTCAAGCTCTCTCTCTTTCTCTCTCAATGATTATGATTTTTTTTTTCCAAGGAAAAGACTTGAATTGTTATGAAAAAAATCATGTTTTCATTTTTTTGTAATTCAGTTTATCTAATCCATTCTTTTTTCTATCTCTCTCCCTCTCTCATTTGCTCGTCATTTGAACATCTTGGAATCATCACGCTCATCCATTATCATCATCATCATCTTTATCTTTATCTTCTTCTCACTTTGTTTGGATATTATCTGTTTTTGTTGTTTGCCGTTGATTTTGGCTCTTTCTTTAACAACCATGGCTCTCCAACTTAACCACCCACCATCATCATCATCATCATCGTCAACAAACCCTTGGCTATCTGGCTTTTCATCTTTTTCATCCTCCCTTTATGTTTTTCCTTCCTCTTCTCCATCACTTATTTATCATCTACCAATCTTTTTTTCCCCATTGCCTTTGGTGCGGGTTTGGCAAAATATTGACATAAACGCTTTTCATACACTTTGCATTTATGCTGTTGATGTTTTCTGCTTTCTCTCCTCTCTTTTGCTCTTATTTTCCTCCCTTTTATCATCTCTCTCTCTATTTTCTTATGGTTTACTTTTCCCAATCAACTATTAGGCTGAGACTGCAGCTAATCGGATATGTAAAGTCCTTAAAGTTAATCAAGAAAATGAACGTCTCATGGAAGAATATGAGCGACTTGCTTCTGATCTTTTGGAATGGATCCGTCGAACTACTCCTTGGTTGGAGAATCGTACCACTGACAATACACTGCCCGGAGTTCAAAAGAAGTTGGAAGAATTTCGTCAATACCGTCGAGTTCATAAACCACCTCGAGTTGAACAAAAAGCTCGTCTTGAAACTAATTTCAATACCCTACAAACTAAACTTCGTTTAAGTAATCGACCAGCCTATTTACCAACCGAGGGTAAAACTGTGGCGGATATTGCCAATGCATGGAAAGGTTTAGAAACAGCGGAACGAGGATTTGAAGAATGGCTTTTATCTGAGATGATGAGACTTGAACGACTTGACCATTTGGCTCAAAAGTTCAAGCATAAAGCCGATATCCATGAAGAATGGACTCGAGGTAAAGAGCAAATGTTACAAAGCCAAGATTTTCGACATTGTCGCCTAAATGAGGTTAAAGCGCTGAAAAAGAAACACGAAGCCTTTGAAAGTGATTTGGCTGCCCATCAGGATAGGGTTGAACAAATTGCCGCCATTGCTCAAGAATTAAACACTTTAGGTTACCATGGGTCGGTTCAAGTCAATGAAAGATGCCAACGGATTTGTGATCAATGGGATAAACTTGGTTCACTCACCCAGGCCCGTCGGATTGCCCTGGAAGAAGCTGAATCAGTTTTGGAAAAAATTGACACCCTTCACCTTGAATTTGCCAAAAGAGCTGCACCATTTAACAATTGGTTGGATGGAGCTCGTGAAGATTTGGTTGATATGTTTATAGTTCACACCATTGAGGAGATTCAAGGACTCATTGAAGCTCATGAACAATTCAAGATGACCCTTGGTGAAGCTGATAAAGAGCACAAGTCAATCATTGCTTTATCTCAGGAAGTCTCATCAATCGCCACCAAATATCAGGTTCCCGGTGGTATCGAGAATCCTTATACTAGTCTTACTCCTGATGTGAGCATTTAACATTTTATTTTTATTTTTTCTTAAATTTTTTTTATCATTTTATTTTTACTCTTCCGCTCTCTCTCTCTCTCTCTCTCTCTCTCTCTCTCTCACAACATTTACCACCACTATCATGATGTATTTATCTCTTCCTCATTATCATCTCAAATCATAATCTCGTTCATCAACTTACCGGTTACCTTTAAATATCTCTGTGATTCCTAGAGTTTCTCTCTCTCCCTCTCTCTTTCTTTCTGAAGATTCCATGATATTTTTTTGATGAAAAGTTACTTTAGAAGTGCCTTCAACTGCCTTTTTTAGAAGTGTTAAGTCAATTCAACAAGCTGGCAGAGTTTCAGCAACTCTCATCCTTCATCATCCCCTCCTCTTATTTATTTCCATGCATATACTATCTTCTTTCTCTCTCTCTTTCTCTCTCTCTATCTCTTCCAGGTTCACATCCTTTTCCTCAAAGATGATACATTTGCCCTCTAATCTTTTTCTTCCTTCCTTCTCTATCTCATTCTATCTCCTTTTCTCTCTTGGCAGATTTGCTTCAGCATCGAGTTAACCGTCTAAGCATTTAGGTCGTTATTTAGAACCTTTCAATGTTCATTTTGCTTCTCTGCAAAAGCGAAACATTATTTACTATTTGATGAATGTCCTTAGTGGTTTCATGATTTTCTTACTTTTCTTCGCTAGAATTTCAAGTCAATGAAAAGAAATAGTAATTTTGAGCTTTACTTATTAGACGAAAAGATGATCCACTCCTTCCTTAAATCTCTTCATTCATTTATTCCATAAGTTATTAGAATATAAGATGAATCTCATTTTTCAAAATCAATCAAACAAAAAATATCAGAGGTTCGACCTTTCATTATTCTCTCACCTCCAACCTCCTTTCATCTTGGGAATTTCTTTTGAAAAATGATCACAAGTTATTCAAATATTTCTGAGTTGTTAACATAAACTCAATTCGAATCAAATTTTCTTTGCCTCCTCTTCTTGAATAACATGGTGAAACTCATGAAAAGCCATAAATATAAATAATCATCGAGTGAAAGTGATAAAGTTTGTTGATAAAAAGAACGTAGTTGCTTAGATTATGTGAGAGAGAAAAGATAATAAACAGCAACCTTGAACTCTTTTTCTGTAATTCTAAACAGAGATACAAAAATTCAGAACGAAATTTGTGTTCCCTTTAAAAGCTCATCCCAATGTAAACGATTCATCTTATATTCAGTTGCTTTTATCTCCATCAAGAGGATTGGTTTGTTAATCTTTTCGCCAATTAATTCTGGTGATTTAAATTGTTTTCTCGCTTTATTATTAACTTTTATCCTCTTTGCTCACCTTATTGTAGTTTGATTTTCATCATAATCATCATCTTATTATTAGCATTCAGCTTGAATCTCAGAGTCATCACCATTTTGACTACTCTTTTCAAAGGCAAATCCAAATACGATACCATGAAAATGACTCCATCTGATGGATTAGTCTTCTGAATATTTATAACTCTTTTATATTTCTCTCTTTTTACTGATCCACTTTCTAAATCAGGTTGATCAACAACATTTAATTGTCTTTGATCAAACAAAAGCTATTTAGTCTAATCTAATCTCTTTAACCATCTTGCTATTTGTCTTCATCTTCATCCTTAATCATCATCTTCATCATCGTAGACCTTTTTGTTTTCACCATCATCTCTTTTCAAGGAAACATGATTAACCGTTAAAATATTCATGAGGATTCTTAAAGTAATTATAACAATAATAATAACAATACTCACTTTTGGCTAAAGATTTAATCTTAACTGTCAGTTGTTATTGTTTTTACTTATTATCATAATGATCAGTGTTTACAAGTTTGTTAATATCAACAATTTAAAACAATAGATTTGCAGAGTATATTTAACCTTTGAATTATAAACATTTCAAAAGTTGAACATGAACAATAATTAAGAGTTGAGATGATTATCAGGAAAAATTTATTCATTCATTTTTCATTTTTCAATTTGTAATTAATTTTTTATTCTGTTTTTTATTTCTTTTTGTATATTAATAGGAAATATCTAACAAATGGGCTGATGTTAAACAATTAGTGCCAAAACGAGATCAAGTTTTATCGGCTGAATCAATGAGACAGCAACGAAATGAAGGGTTACGACGTCGATTCGGTGAAAGGGCAAACGTTGTCGGCCCTTGGATTGAAAGGCAAATGGACGCTGTTGCTGCCGTTGGAATGGGTATGCAAGGTACTTTGGAAGATCAGAAAAACAAGCTTATCCAATACGATCAAGCTGTTAATCAATATCGTCCCAATATGGATGAATTGGAAAAGATTCATCAAGAAGTTCAAGAATCAATGATATTTGAGAATCGATATACACAATTTACCATGGAGGTTTGTCTCTTTCTCTCATGATGATTGTTTATATTACTTATTTCCTATTGTCAGTCATTTTCTTGTCATTGTATTAATATTTTCTTCCTGTTATACCTTATTTAGACACTTCGAGTTGGTTGGGAGCAGCTATTGACATCAATTAAGCGAAACATTAATGAAGTAGAAAATCAAATATTGACTAGAGACTCGAAGGGAATCACACAAGAGCAACTCAATGAATTCAGAATGTCATTTAATCATTTTGACAAAACAAGAGGTGGACGACTCAATCCAGATGAATTTAAATCATGTCTTGTTAGTCTTGGTTATAATATACGAAGTGATAGGCAAGGTGACGCTGATTTCAGGAGGATTATGCTAATCGTTGATCCAAATAACACCGGCTATGTTACTTTTGACACCTTCCTTGACTTTATGACCAGAGAAGCGACAGATACCGATACTGCTGAACAGATTATCGATTCATTCAGAATTTTAGCCGGAGATAAGGTAAAGAAAAGTCAATTATTATTTTCTTCATACGAATAAGAAATAATAGAAGTTACAATTGATGTTTTTCTCTCTCTTTTATCTTTAGCCTTTCATCACGGCTGATGAGCTTAGACGTGAATTACCACCTGATCAAGCTGAATATTGTATCAAGAGAATGTCACCTTATCGAGGAACCGGAGCGGTACCCGGAGCATTGGATTATATGTCATTCTCAACTGCACTTTATGGCGAAAGTGATCTCTAAACTCTCTCTCTCTCTTCCCTTCTCTCTCATTCTTTCCTTCTGTCTTTTGACTCTCTCTTCCTCTCTCACTCTCCAAATTCTTCTTCTTCTTAAACAATCAGGAAATATTTCGAATGAAAAAGAAAAAAAAGTCTAATTAATAAAAGAAAATCAGAAAGAAGAAGAATTCTCAATTCTATTCTTGAAGCGATGTTTTCTAAAAACTTGATCTTTAAGATAATCCCAATGAAGTTTTGATCTAATCTACGAAAAAAAAAGAAAAAATTATTTTGATTATGATCTTCATTGGGATCAAGAGTCATCTGAGAATTCTTCTTTGAATAGACGAATAGTTTCCATAACAAAAGACAATTAAAATTCTGTTGGTTTCGGGTTCTAAATTAATCACAATCTAAATACCCTTTTGCTCAACAGTTTCAACAATCTAAATTCTCCAAAATTTTCGATCTTACATCTTATTAATAATATCAAACAATAAACAAATTCTTTGAAAAGACAATTTTAGTTCAAACAAAAACGAAAAATGTAATGAAATTGAAATTCTGTATCTTCATATTCCTAAATAACATCATGTTATCATTACAATTTACTTGTTATCAATTAATAATCGTTAATTGTTTAGTTTGATTTTTTTAAAATCTAATCAAGTTTATCCTCATAATCTTAATAATCTAATTGACTGTAAAACTGTTCAATGATAGAAATCAAAATCTAGTGAAAGGTAAACACTCACCTAACTATAATGAATCTAAATTCAGAATTTTAATTAGACAATTAACTCCTAATTGAAATTAATTAAATTTTCGGTCAAATTGATGAAAACATTTTCTTTTCGTGTCAACAGATGTCACCAGTTGTAATTGAATGAATGGAAAGACAAAGTTAGTGATAAATCTAATAGATGGCGTAAGTGAACGAGAAACTTTTCTTCTCAATAATTAATCACAATTAACAATTAATATTGATTAGCTTAAAGTGGTTGCATTAAAGAGTAACTAGTTTTAAATCAATGAGATCAATAGACTTATCCGAGGACATGAACAAGAAAATATCAAAATCGGTTGACAATATGAATGGTTGTAAAGGATTATCATTGAAAATACTAATCGATATTAGGAAATTAAATTATTAACGAATGAAACTATTAATACAATTAAGTAATTAACTATTGAGTGAAAATCTACTCAGGTAGTACAGTGAACTATTGATTATTTGATTGATTGAATAAAGGCTCGAATAAATAATCAATAAGTATTTTAATGAAAAGTTTGGTTTTCTCAATATAAAAATAACTGATTTCATGTTGATTGATTTAATGTTGATTGAAGATCAACTAAATTGGTAACAATGAAAACTGCTCATGAAACTTGAATCATCATCATCATCATCTTATTATCAACATTATTATGATTGTTATTATATTTGATTTATAAAAAAAATCTCTAACTAACTTGACAATAGCAAATGAATCTTTAAGCATATTAGGTTTTGAGCGAAATGTCAAATCCATGTGTTACACATTTATAACAATAATATAATAAATATGAACACATTATTATTATTATTACAGAATTACAATCGATTAAACAGATTTCGATGATCGATGTTAGAACTTTTTTTTTCGAAACAAGAAAAAAGAAAGAAAGAGAGAAAGAGACTGGAGAGAATCAAGTTCGATGGAATCATAATTTACTTTTATGTTCCTTATTCGTTATTATTTACAATTGAATTTGTTTTAGTTGAAATTGGAATTGGAATTGGAATTGGAATTGAAATTGAACTCATCGTTTATAATCATGATCATGGTGTTAATTGTTGATTTCTTGTTGTGAATTTTTTCATTATATCTGTTCAGACCTTTTCTTTATATTATTTAGCCTGAGGCTTTTCAGATTTGTCTGGTTGAAATTAAGGTTTACAAAAAGGATTGAATTATTTGTTTGATTGAAATTATTTGCAACATGGTGATGATAATCATCTTCATGATGTTGATAGCATTTTCTGATTCATCTTGAGTTCATTTTTTCCCCTCCTTGTTAGAGATTCAAGCATTCTGAAGTGGGTTAAAATAATAATAATAATATAATGATAATAAAGTAATATAACAATATCAATAATAATAATAGCAACAAACGACAATAGTAGTAGAAAACTGCCTTCTCCGGCTCAATTTCAGCCAAGGCTGAAATTGATCCGGAGAAGGCAGTCATTATTTTTTTAAAAAAAAATTTAATGCAAATACTTTTTTAATAAATATTTCAATCGACGTTCATTGAATAAAAACTTACATTTTTTAAATAGTTTTAAAAAAAGATATGGATGATGAGCTAACAAAATAAATAGGATACAGAAATAGCCACAGGCCATTGATTGATTACCTTGATATTTTTCTGTTGAATGTGTGAACCCTTTTGTAGCATTTCTTTCTAAAAAAGATAAAATATTTCCTTCTGCTTGTCTACCAAAAGAATCAAAAAATAGTCCTGTTCCATATTTAGTAAAGTGAACTGCTGTCCAATGTGTTCCTGGTTTATAACTAGGATCTAAATTTATAATGAAACTTTTAGGTTTTTTAAATGTAGTCGGTAATCGATCATTCGGAAAGACTCCACCAAACCATTTAATGTTTTTGAGTATAGAAGATATTTCAAAATTACTCAACATTTCAATAATCAATTGTAACCTGTCTATCTTTATCTATAGTGATGAGATTGTCAAACTGACCAAATACAATAGCTTTAATTGAAGACGAAAGGCTTTTACTAAACCGCATCTCAAGTCGTACTTTTCCTCGTTTGATAAGTGATAAAACACCAACTTCTGCACCCAGAGGACCTCCTATATCAAACGCAAATAGCACCTTTCCCTTCTTATATTGATCATAAGTTATCTCTATTTGTGGAATTCCTTCATCTTGATTGAGAGCTTTAAAAAGACTTAGATATTCTCTCATACAGTTACCTTTCGCGAAATCTGGTTTATAAGGAATACTCGGGTACATTATTCCATCAATGTTCAAACAAATATGATTTATATTAAAATTTTCGAATTTGAATGGATCAAAGTTAATATCACCATTGAGTGCTTCTTCTTTTACAAATCCTATAACAATTCTTTTAGGTAATTGACCAACGAATAAGTTTTCAATTGTCATAGTTGAAACGCCTAATGGAATAGTGAAGCTTTTTGTGTCCGCTCTTGTAATGAAGTATTTAGCGGGATGCGTTTCGAGAGTTTGAATTATTGAAGCTTGTGTATCAGGAAATAGTTTGACACGCTTTAAATGTAAAGAAAAATTTGATATTTTTATTGAATAACTAGCCTTATCACCCTCTTGTGATTTTAAAAGAGGAAATGAGGCTGTACTTCGAGTAAATCTGAAAACTAAAGGAACCCCATTTATTAAAAGTTTATCTTGTAAACAAATAGGTAGATGTAATCTATAATAAAGTTCATATGTTGTATCTTCAACAACGTCAGTTTCATCTTTTAAAAATGACTCATCAATGTTAGTAGGGTATCTATAGAGTAAGTCTTCTAGAAAGGCTTGATAATGGTACATATTATTAGCTAGTGAAGTGTTTGTTGATCCTAGATATAGATCAATCTGTTCGAACAATGCATTACCGAAATTCGATACTAACTTTATTAAATTCTTAGTATTTACAACTTTGTCTTTCTCTGTCAGTATATTTATATTCATATGTAACATTGTAGCACTAAGATCTGTAAAGTCTTCTGATGCTGGAATCACTAACTCATATGTTCGAGAAGACTCTAAACTTGCAGAAGGTCTATAGTCAGTTTCGTAAACAGAGTCGATAGCGACCTGTGTGGGGGGTACATTGAAAATATCTAGTTCACTTTTGTTAGCTGGAACAGATGAGGGATGTAAATATTCCATTATGAAGAGAAAATATCTTTTTTTATTCTAGCCTTCTTAACTGTTTTCTTATATTGTTTACGTTTTAACCTTTTCCTTGCTGCTCAAAATAATTCGAAAGTTTATTCAAAGAATCACCAGCAACCTCTTTTATACCCACTTTAGCTCTTTCTTTAAATGCATCTTTAATGTTTTTCTTATTCAAAACATCTTGACCGATGTCAACTCCAGTTTTCAATACATGTTTCCCTAAAAACTTTAAAACGGGAATACCAAATCTCTTGAATAAACTCCCAAAACCATAACCTCTTTGGTAAGGACTACCGTGAAAAACCGATATGTCTGAAAAACCATTTCCAGTTTGAGAATGATAATAGTTTCGAAAATCTGAGTCACAAGCACAATAGACCTTGCGAAGCATTTTTATTTAATTAAATATCAAATGTTATAATTCATCTTAATTTTCTTATACAATTAATTACGTTTTATATGTAACCCTACTAATACTCTTCCAGAGTTAAATTTAACAAGTTCACCCATTTCATCAGAAAGAATGAAATTTATATCTTCAATTCTGTTTGATCGTACTGGATAGTAAAAAGGTTTCAAAAACTTTTCATGAACCATTTCAGATTGTATACCATATTTTATAGGAACAACTCTCATTACTCTAGCAGATTTATTTCCAACAAAATGTTCATCAACTATATCTGAATGAATAAACATTAAATGTGATCTAAAATTCAAATTGCAATTTTTTGGTGAAGTAAAAGCCTTTTGTCCTCCATTGAAGGCTTCAATCATGGTTAAATAGCTATTTGCATCAAATCCTAATGCTGAAATGAAATTAACATCAGAAAAGTATGGTGTGAAAATATGTTCTTTGTGACGGCCCGGAAATACAATAATTTTGACATTATGATGAGTTAATCCAGGAACTGTCATTTTTGTGTCTATTCCAATCTTAGGTTCGCCTTTCTTATCTTTAATCATTATTCCAAGTTCAGAAAGTCTTTTCAATAGTAGATTTTCTTGATTTTGTAGTTTTTGTCTTTCTACTTCAAGCTCTTTAAGTGACTTTTCAGTTTCTTGTTGTAAACGGGCACTCCTCTCTTTTTGATTTTGTATTTGTGATAAAAAATCTAGTTCTCTTCCTTGTAACCTCTGAATTTCAATTTTAAGAGCCTCTTGTTCATAATTCATTGTCTGAATTTGATTTTTGAGCTGCGTTTTTTCACTTTTGAGGATATTTATTTCTTGTTGTGACTTATGAATTTGATTTAGTCCATTTTCTTCTTTGATTTTTAGTGAGGACTCTAGACTATTTTCATTTTGCTTACATGTATTATATTTCATAGTGAGTTCACTGATTTGTGTGTTTGTTTCACTTTTCTGACTTTTGTAAGCTGATTCGGTTTTCTGTTTCTCTTCTGTTAGTTTAACTATTTGTTCATTTAAATTATTTATTTTTGAATTGAGAATGTCACTTGATTCGTAATTATTTTTGACTTTTCCTTCTAAATCTTTTTGTATAGACGACTTTTCTAATAATAGTTTTTCTAATTTTTCAGATAGCAATTTATTACTTGCTCTGTATTCTTCATTGAGTTTGTATAGTTCTTTACTTTTCTCATTTATCTTAGCATCTAACTGTTGATTTTCCACTTTAACTGCTTTTAACATGTTTTTATTCTCTTCGTTT